CGTGCCCCCCCCCCCCCCCCCCAATCTAGTGCCGAGGTTGAAAATGAGTAGGTGCATCGCCTCTCCCCCCAAGCGCACACAACAGCTGTACTCTCTTGCCTTTTCCAGGAGAGAAAACTCTGAATTCGGTGAAAGCAGTCAGGCCCATTAAGGTCCGTGTGGGCAGGTGTGAGTGGCGAATCCTGGTTAATAAGTCAGTATTATCAGACACTGCGGGAGTAATTTAATTCGATCCATTTATTAACAGCTGAAGGCCTATGCTCGTGCAGACTGCATCGTGACCGAGGGTCTGACCTTGGAGTTGCGATTCCACGGTAAAAGCCTGACCGACCCGGTCGGTGCGCAGACTAGACAGTGTCGAAAGCAGAAGATGCCTTTAAAACATGAAGATGCTCTTTTCTAAAATGCACGTTTAAGAGAATTTATTTTCCGAAAGTATATTCGCATTAAAAGTCACATACGATATTGAGCGTGTGGTTCGCGGTCCGTAAAAAGTTGTTCATTCTTTTAAATTGGTGGAAATGTGAGTTGGGTTAATCACGCAAGTGAATTGTTTCAGAAAAATTTATGAAAACCGTAAAATATATTTATTTTATAAATAAAAAAGTGATAAAGGTGTTTCATACACACACAGGGTTAAGAAGGGCGAAGGGGGTTCCATAAAGTTTTTGTTACGCTAAACGGAAAGCACAGAATTTGCTTAAGCTTTCAAAATTGATATTTGAATCAAAACTTCACTTTTTTTAAAGATAATTTTGTATTTGTTTACAATAAACAGCGCTGCTTATTATAATTTTTAGTTTTCGGTTCTGATATAGTGTGGCGCAAAAATGTGTTCCGCGAGCTGAATGAAATTTCCTCTGGCCTCGAACTTGGTCGAGGAGTCTGCGTTGTTTCGGGAGCAAAATGTCCTCTGTCTGTCGCCGGTTCGAGGAACAAACACAGATCCAAAGATCTCTTGTTGTTACGCATTAATAATAACCACGGAGTGGCGTAATTCTGTAAGTAGGTTATAGTGAGAGGCTCTCTGCAGGTGCGGTGGTGCTATGCTCTGGTTTGCTGTAGGGCTGGTTGATCATTATCTTGGCGTTGTGACAATCTTCTGAAATATATGCAGATGCAAAAAAGAATAATGAGAGAATGCCTTTAAATGAGTTTCTACACGCCAGGTTTTATGCCCGGTGCTATAAATCAGCTCGCTGTACGCCTTTACCAGAAGGCATGGAGGCCGAGAGACAGAGAGAGGATTATTAAGGATAGAAGAGAAATCGAGAGAAGTGAGACATTTAATTTCATCAGCAGGTTCCCAAGCTTCGCCCGCTCGGCTTTTTCACGAGGGTTGTTAGACTGTGAAGAAGCTCGGACGGTAGAAGGTTGTGACATTTTAGGTTTCTTCGGCGGTAATGATGTTTTTCTGGTTTTGGGGGGTCAGTATTTTTCTCCGAAACGTCGGTCTGCCGACTAGTTTACGCGGTCCTCAAACCCAGAAGAACATCATAATTGTAAGGTTTCCCCAGATTGTGACCCAACTTCAAGTCTCTGCTTTCAACAAAATAAAAGTTCACTAGTTTGTCGCCAAATGTAATAATGTACACTTTATGTGTGGGGGCGTCGTTTTGAGGATCCACGAACTGGCATATGCTTCGCCCCAGACCGTTGCTATTCCATTTGTAGTGAAGACTTGCAGCTCTCAGTTTCTGGGGGATTTGCATTCCCCTAGGCTGCCATTGACCAAATTTGTACGGTAATGTTTCAGTCTCCACTTTTGTGTTTATTTTATTTGTAGTGTTCTGTCTGGCGACAGGTCCATATGAACAGGATCCTTCCATCCTTTTCTCGGACTGGGTCCTGTTCATATACGTTCTTGGCAGATGATCCAGAAGTGGTTTGCCATTGCCTTCTTCTGTGTGTGAATGGAGTAATTGTTGGGATGCCACGGAGGAAAACTCCGTGTTGCCTAGACCACGGCCTTGCCCAACACAAGTTATAAATTCGGGCACCGCCGGGAATCGAACCCGAGACCCCAGGATTACAAGGCCAGCGTTCTAACCGCTAGACCACCGTGGCACACTTCTGTGTACTTTGCCTTAATTTTGGCTTAAGTGCGTTGTCATTTGGATGAACGTGAGAGAGCATCATCCAACTGAGCCAGCTGAAGGATCTCCCAGTTCTTCGTGAAAATGGGAGGAGTCAGTCAGGGCAAATGCGTGCGTTCGTAATCCCTTCGTTATTTTTATGTCTGCAACACTTAATTTCGACTTCGGTTACAGTTTTGAATGGTTTCTCCTGTTTTGCTGCAAAGTAATCGGCACGGAATGTGATGCCGTCTGTGGTGGTGTGGTAATTTTCTGTCCATCTGCTGACTAGTGACGATAGTGATTCATCTTCACACTGGAATCATTGTCACCGTCTATTTCTGTGTCGTACTCAGATTCAGTTTCAGGTATGACAATTCTCGAATTCAGACCTGATCAGTCCGTTCAGCAAAACATCGGCGTCTTCGTGTTCATCCTCAGCATCTCTTCCAAGGTTTCTGCAATGCCACAGTGGTTCCTGCTCACCCCCCCCCCCCCCCCGCGTTTAGTCCCCGAAAATGAATATTGTGCATTAGTATGAATAAAAGTAATGCAATTTTTATTTCAGATTTAGTTCACGTGATAAAGGAAAATTGTATGATACTCAGTGGACATAAATGCATTTCAACGAATCTCATTACTTCGTTTACGATATTGTGCCCCAGAATGTTTCTGCCTGTCAGCTGGAACGTGGTTTTACTCATGTTGCTCAGGTCTGTGGCAGACTGTGTCCTCGAATTTCTACATTGCAGTTTTATTTTATAACTTTCTAAAGATGTGGTTACAGCTCACATAAATTTAGAAAATAAAGCCATCTTTTCCAGTCCTCTGTGACAGAAAACTTCCTTCTTATTGATACGTCATGAGGTAACGAACCAATTAATGTTTGTAGATTTATCCTCAGAAGAAATCA